ACCGCTGGCGGCAGGCGCAGCTGCTGGGCTCGGCCGGCGGCGCCCTGGCCGGGGTGCCCGTCTCGCACTTCGCGGGCATCGACGGCGTCCGCGCTTTCCTGCACTCCTACTCCCAGGACGTGTCTCTCACGGCGGGCCCCAGGAAGAGCCAGTGGAGCTTCGGCCCGCCCAGCTCTGCCGGCACCCTGCCTCGGCCGCCGGCGGGACAGGGCAAGGAGCCTCCCTCGGTGTTTGAGGACTCAAAGATGTGTGAGGCGGACCAGGCTGAGCTGCAGGTGAGCCGAGGTCTTTATGGCGTTCGGTACTTTGTTTAAATGTATTGGTACATGTGAAATTACAAGGTCTGAGAAGTTGAGAATGACTGTGTTTGTTTACCTGTATGTCTTATCTCTCCAGTGTATGTTTTTGAGCCCCCTGGAAGCTAGCGTAGGTCCTTCTTCCTTCTGCTGTTTCAGACAACTTCCGTACCCATACTTCAGTACTAGGAAGTATGTAAACTTGTAGAAAGGCCCTGCTTTGGGAAATTTACTTTGCAAAAAGATAATTTGATTACCTTATTCATGAAGCCATATTTTCTTTTTAGCTGTGTGCAATTTTACTCACTTGCCCCCTTCCTTGAAGACTGCAGTAAATTAGCCTACCAAAAAAATGAGCGTTAATTTAAGAGGGTCAAGTTTGTTTGAAATGCTGACATATACTTACCTGAGAAATAAACGTCCTCTAGGTTGTCCTGTCTCCTATTGTCTCGCAAACATAGCTTGGAGAAGCGCATCACAACTAACCTCGGTTTTCCAGCCTTTTTGCGAGATATTTTGTCTATAATTTCTCCTTCAGGTATTTTGTGTCTTATTTTCTGCCGTTGAAAAGCTGAGACGTACGGGTTAGGTATTAGGCATTTGATACGGTTTATACACGAGAGAAGAGAGTCTTATCTACCTCTTTATTTATTACAGACTCATATTCACATCAGGGGTGCTAATAATAAAAAATATATGAATGGTTCATTACAGTAGTGTAATAGACCTATACACATCTAAAGTATTTAATTTAATTATAAATTAATTATTTTGTTCATTTTTTAAATTAATTACGTTATTGTAGAGCTTTATGTCTGTATTGCCACATTCTGTGGTCCTAATTTATTGTTACATCTTGGTAAAGCGTTTTAATATCAGACGCTTGCTCCCGAGCGCTTCACATATGGAACAATAAAGGTTTGCTTCAAGCTGTATTCCTTAATTACATTGTCACCTAAGGAAACAGAGCTCTCTCAGTTTTGAAGCAAAAAACGCATTGTCCATGGAAGACACATCTTCAAGAAGAAAAATATATAAACATAAAATAAGCCCTAAAAGTAACGTGGGAAAAGGGTTTGCTCATAATGCAGGTTGGGCTTTTCCCCCTCTCTCCACAATATATTGCTTTCTGTCAAATAATTCGAAACTACAGTTTCTTGGACCTCATGAACACAGCTGCAGATCAAGACGCACCTTGCTGCGGCTGCTCGCTACTTGTGACCAGTCATCAATCCATCAATTACTTAGGTTCCATCCAGGAAGAGCACACACCAACTGCTGAAGCTTCCTTAGCCTGACGAAGGGTTTTTTAACCCGAAAGCTTGCTTAATAACTATTCTCCAACCATTTGGATTGGTCTAATAAAAGATATCAAATTCACCCAAGGAACCTTGCCTGCCATCAATTACTTAGGCACTCTTATACTTTCAGACTACAGTTTTTCCCTCAAAACAGTTCCGTGCCTTGTTTTAGATCAGACTAGCTTCAGCAGAGCCGCAGCGGCGCCCTGGTCAGATCGCTGTTACTGCACTTCTCCGGCTGGGACTCCGAGTGCCGCTGTTGGCCAATACGGAGCGGCGCTGCAGACTGGGATCCATTGGAGCCTCCTGCAGTGCGCTTGCTCAGACAGCGCAGAGCAGGGAAGATGCATCAGAAAAAGCTGATTTAGAATCTCTACAATTGCTTTCTGAAAAGGAAATCACAGCAGAGTGCTCGGTACGGATAATCAGCAGACAAGTCAGGCTCTGCGTAGCCTTTCGGGCTGAAGATATTCTGCGACCAGAAAGGAAAAACACGAGGAAAAAAAAAGTCGACAGGGACTGGGATGGAAATCAGACACAGAGAGCCGGACCGGGCTCCCAAGCGGCAAGTACTGTCCGTTATCCTATTGCTGTCTCTGCTCTGCCGGGAGGTCTCTGCGCAAATTCGCTATTCCGTCCCCGAGGAAATGCCCAAAGGGTCCCTCATGGGCAATCTCGCCAAGGATCTGGGACTGACTGTGCAAGAGCTGCCTGGTCGCAGGCTCCGGGTTGTCTCTGCAGCCAGAAGACAATACTTCACGGCCCGATCGCAGGCTCCGTGTCATCTCGGAGAAGCAGTACTTCACGGTGAAGGGCGAAAACGGGAACCTGTACGTGAGTGACCGGATAGACCGGGAGGAAATCTGCGGGAAGGCCCCGCTCTGCGCTCTCGCTTTCGAAGCCGTGGTGGAAAATCCACTGAACGTTTTCCACATCAACGTCGAGATCCAGGACATCAACGACAACGCGCCGCGCTTCATACGAGATAACAATACACTGGAGATCAATGAATTGACGCTGCCAGGAGCCCGCTTCTCGCTGGGAAATGCCCAGGACCCGGACGTGGGCTCCAACTCCCTGCAGAGTTACCAGCTCAGCTCCAACGCCAACTTCGTGCTGGAGGTCAGGGAGAGCCAGGACGGGGAAAAGTACGCGGCGCTGGTGCTGCAGAAGCCTCTGGATCGGGAAAGGCAGCCCGGGCTGCACTTGGTCCTCACGGCAGTGGACGGGGGGCAGCCCGCCAGAACCGGCACGGCTCGCGTCTGGGTCAACGTCACCGACGCCAACGACAACGCGCCCGTCTTCACCCGGGACGTCTACAAGGGGCGCGTGCGGGAGGGCGCCCCCGCGGGCTCCCTCGTGCTCCAGCTGAACGCCTCCGACAGCGACGAGGGCGCCAATGCGCATGTCACCTACGGGTTCAGCAAAGTTCCCGGGAAGGTCCGAAAGAGGGCCAGAAATTCAGCCTGGAGGCAGAAACGGGGAGGATCACGGTGAGGGAGCCGCTGGACTTCGAGGAGACAGCAGCCTACACCTTGGAAGTGGAGGCAAAGGACGGCGGCGGCCTGGTGACCCACTGCAAAGTGGAGATCGAGGTTGTGGACGAGAACGACAACGCGCCCGAGGTGACCTTCACCTCCGTGTCCAGCCCCGTCCCCGAGGACTCCCAGAGTGGCACCGTGATCGCACTGATCAAAGCACGGGACCGAGACGGTGGAG